AAACAACTTGTAGGACTTGTGGTAGCCAAGCAACTTGTGGTAGCCAGGCAACTTGCAGGACTTGTGGTAGCCAAGCAACTTGTGGTAGCCAAGCAACTTGTGGTAGCCAGGCAACTTGTAGGACTTGTGGTAGCTAGGCAACTAGCAGGACTTGTGGTAGCCAAGCAACTTGTAGGACTTGTGGTAGCCAAGCAACTTGTGGTAGCCAGGCAACTTGTAGGACTTGTGGTAGCCAGGCAACTTGCAGGACTTGTGGTAGCCAAGCAACTTGTGGTAGCCAGGCAACTTGTAGGACTTGTGGTAGCCAAGCAACTTGTAGGACTTGTGGTAGCCAGGCAACTTGTAGGACTTGTGGTAGCCAGGCAACCTGTAGGACTTGTGGTAGCCAGGCAATTTGTAGGACTTGTGGTAGCCAGGCAACTTGTAGGACTTGTGGTAACCAGGCAACTTGTAAGACTTGTGGTAGCCAGGCAACTTGTAGGACTTGTGGTAGCCAGGCAACTTGTAGGACTTGTGGTAGCCAGGCAACTTGCAGGACTTGTGGTAGCCAAGCAACTTGTGGTAGCCAGGCAACTTGTAGGACTTGTGGTAGCCAGGCAACTTGTAGGACTTGTGGTAGCCAGGCAACTTGTAGGATTTGTGGTAGCCAAGCAACTTGTGGTAGCCAGGCAACTTGTGGTAGCCAGGCAACTTGTAGGACTTGTGGTAGCCAGGCAACTTGCAGGACTTGTGGTAGCCAAGCAACTTGTGGTAGCCAGGCAACTTGTAGGACTTGTGGTAGCCAGGTAACTTGTAGGACTTGTGGTAGTCAGGCAACTTGTAGGATTTGTTGTAGCCAGGCAACTTGTAGGACTTGTGGTAGCCAGGCAACTTGTAGGACTTGTGGTAGCCAGGCAACTTGTAGGACTTGTGGTAGCCAGGCAACTTGTAGGACTTGTGGTAGCCAGGCAACTTGTAGGACTTGTGGTAACCAGGCAACTTGTAAGACTTGTGGTAGCCAGGCAACTTGTAGCACTTGTGGTAGCCAGGCAACTTGTAGGACTTGTGGTAGCCAGGCAACTTGCAGGACTTGTGGTAGCCAAGCAACTTGTGGTAGCCAGGCAACTTGTAGGACTTGTGGTAGCCAGGCAACTTGTAGGACTTGTGGTAGCCAGGCAACTTGTAGGACTTGTGGTAGCCAGGCAACTTGTAGGACTTGTGGTAGTCAGGCAACTTGTAGGATTTGTTGTAGCCAGGCAACTTGTAGGACTTGTGGTAGCCAGGCAACTTGTAGGACTTGTGGTAGCCAGGCAACTTGTAGGACTTGTGGTAGCCAGGCAACTTGTAGGACTTGTGGTAGCCAGGCAACTTGTAGGACTTGTGGTAGCCAGGCAACTTGTAGGACTTGTGGTAGCCAGGCAACTTGTAGGACTTGTGGTAGCCAGGCAACTTGTAGGACTTGTGGTAGCCAGGCAACTTGTAGGACTTGTGGTAGCCAGGCAACTTGTAGGACTTGTGGTAGCCAGGTGACTTGTAGGACTTGTGGTAGCCAGGCAACTTGCAGGACTTGTGGTAGCCAGGTGACTTGTAGGACTTGTGGTAGCCAGGCGACTTGTAGGACTTGTGGTAGCCAAACAACTTGTAGGACTTGTGGTAGCCAAGCAACTTGTGGTAGCCAGGCAACTTGCAGGACTTGTGGTAGCCAAGCAACTTGTGGTAGCCAAGCAACTTGTGGTAGCCAAGCAACTTGTGGTAGCCAGGCAACTTGTAGGACTTGTGGTAGCTAGGCAACTAGCAGGACTTGTGGTAGCCAAGCAACTTGTAGGACTTGTGGTAGCCAAGCAACTTGTGGTAGCCAGGCAACTTGTAGGACTTGTGGTAGCCAGGCAACTTGCAGGACTTGTGGTAGCCAAGCAACTTGTGGTAGCCAGGCAACTTGTAGGACTTGTGGTAGCCAAGCAACTTGTAGGACTTGTGGTAGCCAGGCAACTTGTAGGACTTGTGGTAGCCAGGCAACCTGTAGGACTTGTGGTAGCCAGGCAATTTGTAGGACTTGTGGTAGCCAGGCAACTTGTAGGACTTGTGGTAACCAGGCAACTTGTAGGACTTGTGGTAGCCAGGCAACTTGTAGGACTTGTGGTAGCCAAGCAACTTGTAGGACTTGTGGTAGCCAGGCAACTTGCAGGACTTGTGGTAGCCAAGCAACTTGTGGTAGCCAGGCAACTTGTAGGACTTGTGGTAGCCAGGCAACTTGTAGGATTTGTGGTAGCCAAGCAACTTGTGGTAGCCAGGCAACTTGTGGTAGCCAGGCAACTTGTAGGACTTGTGGTAGCCAGGCAACTTGCAGGACTTGTGGTAGCCAAGCAACTTGTGGTAGCCAGGCAACTTGTAGGACTTGTGGTAGCCAGGTAACTTGTAGGACTTGTGGTAGTCAGGCAACTTGTAGGATTTGTTGTAGCCAGGCAACTTGTAGGACTTGTGGTAGCCAGGCAACTTGTAGGACTTGTGGTAGCCGGGCAACTTGTAGGACTTGTGGTAGCCAGGCAACTTGTAGGACTTGTGGTAGCCAGGCAACTTGTAGGACTTGTGGTAACCAGGCAACTTGTAAGACTTATGGTAGCCAGGCAACTTGTAGGACTTGTGGTAGCCAGGCAACTTGTAGGACTTGTGGTAGCCAGGCAACTTGCAGGACTTGTGGTAGCCAAGCAACTTGTGGTAGCCAGGCAACTTGTAGGACTTGTGGTAGCCAGGTAACTTGTAGGACTTGTGGTAGTCAGGCAACTTGTAGGATTTGTTGTAGCCAGGCAACTTGTAGGACTTGTGGTAGCCAGGCAACTTGTAGGACTTGTGGTAGCCAGGCAACTTGTAGGACTTGTGGTAGCCAGGCAACTTGTAGGACTTGTGGTAGCCAGGCAACTTGTAGGACTTGTGGTAACCAGGCAACTTGTAAGACTTGTGGTAGCCAGGCAACTTGTAGGACTTGTGGTAGCCAGGAACTTGTAGGACTTGTGGTAGCCAGGCAACTTGTAGGACTTGTGGTAGCCAAGCAACTTGTGGTAGCCAGGCAACTTGTAGGACTTGTGGTAGCCAGGCAACTTGTAGGACTTGTGGTAGCCAGGCAACCTGTAGGACTTGTGGTAGCCAGGCAACTTGTAGGACTTGTGGTAGCCAGGCAACTTGTAGGACTTGTGGTAGTCAGGCAACTTGTAGGATTTGTTGTAGCCAGGCAACTTGTAGGACTTGTGGTAGCCAGGCAACTTGTAGGACTTGTGGTAGCCAGGCAACTTGTAGGACTTGTGGTAGCCAGGCAACTTGTAGGACTTGTGGTAGCCAGGCAACTTGTAGGACTTGTGGTAGCCAGGCAACTTGTAGGACTTGTGGTAGCCAGGCAACTTGTAGGACTTGTGGTAGCCAGGCAAACTTGTAGGACTTGTGGTAGCCAGGCAACTTGTAGGACTTGTGGTAGCCAGGCAACTTGTAGGACTTGTGGTAGCCAGGCAACTTGTAGGACTTGTGGTAGCCAGGCAACTTGTAGGACTTGTGGTAGCCAGGCAACTTGTAGGACTTGTGGTAGCCAGGCAACTTGTAGGACTTGTGGTAGCCAGGCAACTTGTAGGACTTGTGGTAGCCAGGCAACTTGTAGGACTTGTGGTAACCAGGCAACTTGTAAGACTTGTGGTAGCCAGGCAACTTGTAGGACTTGTGGTAGCCAGGCAACTTGTAGGACTTGTGGTAGCCAGGCAACTTGCAGGACTTGTGGTAGCCAAGCAACTTGTGGTAGCCAGGCAACTTGTAGGACTTGTGGTAGCCAGGCAACTTGTAGGACTTGTGGTAGCCAGGCAACCTGTAGGACTTGTGGTAGCCAGGAAAACTTGTAGGACTTGTGGTAGCCAGGCAACTTGTAGGACTTGTGGTAGTCAGGCAACTTGTAGGATTTGTTGTAGCCAGGCAACTTGTAGGACTTGTGGTAGCCAGGCAACTTGTAGGACTTGTGGTAGCCAGGCAACTTGTAGGACTTGTGGTAGCCAGGCAACTTGTAGGACTTGTGGTAGCCAGGCAACTTGTAGGACTTGTGGTAGCCAGGCAACTTGTAGGACTTGTGGTAGCCAGGCAACTTGTAGGACTTGTTGTAGCCAGGCAACTTGTAGGACTTGTGGTAGCCAGGCAACTTGTAGGACTTGTGGTAGCCAGGCAACTTGTAGGACTTGTGACGAAAACCAGACGCGTTCATCTGGTTTGTTGACATTAAGTGTGGGTGGGGTGGGGAGGGCTGCCCTTCCTGGCTACTCATACTTCCCAACCTGACTTCATACAAATAAAACTCACCTCTCACCCTACATTAAGACTACAAATATTTTAAGGTAATTAATGAGTGTACTATATATGCATTTTATCGCTCTAGGGAGCTTAATGTCGTAGTAGGTGGGAGTAGCCAGGCAGGATGCCATACCTCCCACACGACTCTCTACAAATAAATACTTTTCACCTCTCACCCTACATTAAGACCATTAAAACTATAAATATTTTAAGGTAAGTAATGCATCTACTGTATATGCATTTTATTGCTCTAGGGAGCATTAAGCATCATAGTATAGTATGTGTGGGTGGGGTGGTCAGGAGGGCTACCACACCTGACTTCTTAAGAGTAAATACACTACTCACCTTCTTCCCTACATTAAGACTACAAATATTTTTAGGTAAATAATGAGTGTACTGTGTGTGTATTTTACTTTTTAATGCCTAGTTCTATTGCTAACTAAATATATGTTAGTGTAAACTTGTTATCTGGCATTTATATTCATTTATAAATGGAAAAAAATGGAGTTCTGCTTTCCGGCAGTATCCTGGAACCTAACCTGCCAAATCACTGGGGCCCTACTGTATTTGAAAATGGTGATTTACAGGAAGAGAACTACTGCACTATACAAGCGTTTTCTGTAACCTTTGAGCTATATACTACCACTTCAATCTGCATGAGGTTATTCAGCTCAGTAATTCTACACATCTACAATAATTTTTACCTTCAGTTCAACAGAAATGTTCTGAAGAGAATTATTCAGTGCTAACTCCACTTGCCCTAGAATTTCCTCAGGACTTTTGCCAATGTCTACTTCCTTTGTTAGTGTGTCCACCAAAGTTTTAGTTTTAGTGTCATGAAGACTGTTAACACGTGGCTGAGCTGTTGGAGCAGCAACTGTAGGTGGCCTAGCTGGAGCACTTCCTGTGGTGGGTGGGATGTCACTTGGTCTGAAAAGTAAACCAAAAGCATCTTTAAACTACTGTAGATTACCTGCAGTGAATAGATGCCCCACCTACAATGTTTAATATCCAACTGTGGATTTTTCTTACATACAGATTTGGCTTTCACTTGTGACACAGCCTATAGCCAATAACCAAATCTTTGCAACATAATTAGTGTACGTGAAATTTAGAAAACTGTATTTACTGGTATTAAAGTTACAAACTAGATGTAAAATTTCTTTTCAATTTTTATTTCTGATCATGACCTTGGTCCTTTTATTAACAACACATCATTTACAATCATACAACTATATAGCATATATGAAAATCCATCATTTACCTTCAGTGGTTTAGATAGTTAAGGAGGCAAAATATTATTAACAGATCATTGGTATTTAAGAATCATACCTTATATTATATTTGTGGAAAGTACTAAACCCCTAAGGCTCACCTGGTACTATATGACAGAAGAGAAAAATATTGTGGAAGGAGAGAAGTGGAGGTGTTTAGGGAAGAGGAAAGATGGAGGTTACTGCTTATGCTTCAAATCAGTGTCACTTATGAAATCAGTGTGTGTACATTTAACCCTTAAACTATCCAAACGTAGATCTACGTTCACTTGCGTAGCGCTCTGAGCATTTTCGGATTTTTTTTTTTTTTTAAATGATGAGCGCATTTATTTCAGCATCCCTGAATTTTGTTATATTGGGCACGCTGAGTGCACAGACCCATTCTCTCATGTCTAGGCAACTCAGACCTATTGTGCCAAGGTTGAAAGCATGTAAAATAAAATGCAGATCTACGTTCGGAGCGCTACGCATGTGAACGTCTATCTATGTTTGGACAGTTTAAGGGTTAAGGGCAGAAGAGGTAAGACAAGTAAGCAGGACAGGCACTAACAATGGCATATGATATGAAGTTGGTGTGCTATCCAACGAATGAGATACTACAAAAAGATGTTGTACTGTTAGCATAACCTGACAATTCTGAAAGAGTGGATCCAAATACCACTTCATGAGGTAGCAGTATGAACATTTTCACACAACTGTCAGTAATGGAGGAAGGACAAAATATAGTAAAAACCTCTCATTAATGGACTTCAGCAATATTGACCTCAAAACTGGTTGGACAAATACAGGAATCATTGGGCAAAATGGAAAAAGTCCACAATTATGGATTTTATCCATAGCAATAGACACAAGTTATCTTCTGAATCACTGGACCAAGTCCAATGACTAACATTTTTCCAGTATGATCCTGAGTGGTCATGTCCAGGACCTGCTTGCTTTTACTGTTCCCTGAGAAGTAGGCCTCTTGCACCAGTTCTTTGTTTGTACTCACTCACCCAAACACTCATCCTTCAGTTTCCAATTTTCCTTGGTTTTTGAGTGTTTTATGTGACTTTATTAACATATAAAGTAAAGTGCAATTAACAATGGCTTCTAAAGCAAATGGTGGTACCAAGAGGAAAAATGGGGTTCTCATTGTTCAGCAGAAATGAACTAATGAAGAAGGTTGAGTCTGGCATCTCAGTGGCATGGATATGCGAGGAATAATGTTAAAAAAACATGGTGACAAACTAGGCTTTCAAGTTTAGTGTAGATGCTAGTGGAGCTCTACAGCTCCTCTGAGAATATAAGGTATTCTGGGTCTCCACCATCAATCATGGCAGTTTACACCTCATCACTCAGTCATAAAGGGGGTTAAGTAAAATTGGTATAAATTATGTATAGTACCATTACTTACAGTATTTTACTGTACTTTACAACAAGGGTTATAGGTACATATTCTGAGTGTCCAGATGTCTTTTGGTTCAGAAGACAACCAGACAATCATGAAAAATTAGTTTTATAATTGAGAAGCTCCAGATAATTGGAAATTTTGTATACCCCATCCTCCAATAAACCCATTAGAAGTTTGCTGTAATTTGTTTTTCAAGACTGAGGAAAAATGACCAACAGTTGGGTGTCTGTATTGTTGACAATAAAGATACCCAACTATTGCACATGTCTTACTCATCTACTTTTTTTTTTTTTTTAACAAACCGGCCATATCCCACCAAGACAGGGTGGCCAAAAAGAAAAACGAAAGTTTCTCTTTTTAAATTTAGTAATTTATACAGGAGAAGGGGTTACTAACCCCTTGCTCCCAGAATTTTAGTCGCCTCTTACAACACGCATGGCTTATGGAGGAAGAATTCTGTGCCACTTCCCCATGGAGATAAGAGGAAATAAACAAGAACAAGAACTAGAAAGAAAATAGAAGAAAACCCAGAGGGGTGTGTACATATATGCTTGTACATGTATGTGTAGTGTGACCTAAGTGTAAGTAGAAGTAGCAAGACGTACCTGAAATCTTGCATGTTTTATGAACAGACAAAAGACACCAGCAATCCTACCATCATGTAAAACAATTACAGGCTTTCATTTTACACTCACTTGGCAGACGGTAGTACCTCCCTGGGCGGTTGCTGTTTACCAACCTACTGCCTAGAACTCATCTACTTCTTCTTTCTTCTTTCAACACACCGCCGTATCCCACCGAGGCGGGGTGGCCAAAAGGAAAAACGAAAGTTTCTCCTTTTACATTTATAATATATACAGGAGAAGAGGTTACTAGCCCCTTGCTCCCGGCATTTTAGTTGCCTCTTACAACACGCATGGCTTACGGAGGAAGAATTCTGTTCCACTTCCCCATGGAGATAAGAGGAAATAAACAAGAATAAGAACTAAAAGAAAATAGAAGAAAACCCAGAGGGTGTGTATATATGTGCTTGTACATGTATGTGTAGTGTGACCTAAGTGTAAGTAGAAGTAGCAAGACGTACCTGAAATCTTGCATGTTCATGAGACAGAAAAAAGGAACACCAGCAATCCTACCATCATGTAAAACAATTACAGGCTTTCGTTTTACACTCACTTGGCAGGACGGTAGTACCCCCCTGGGCGGTTGCTGTCTACCAACCTACTACCTATATCATCTACTTGTTGGTATTAAATACCATAGTTATAATTGTACCAACTATGCTTGTACAATTATAAAGAGAGAACGGCAAATGCTGTTGGGAGACTGAAGGTCCTGAACTGCAGAGCATACCAAAACATGCAAGTTCATTTCCCTGAACTCTTGTGTGGCCTGGAACCAAAAAAAGACAATGATTTTGCATCTGCTAAAGATGAGGCACAACTAACAGTAAATGTGAACAACAATGGTATGCAAGGAATTGAAGGTTGAAACTGTATGTAATATATTTTTTAGAGTAAGACTACAACAAATAATGGGCACTTACAGTTATGGTTAATCACTTTTATTACATTCTCAATTTTTTATACATTTTTTTCAACAAGTCACCCGTCTCCCACCTAGGCAGGGTGACCCAAAAAGAAAGAAAATCCCCAAAATGAAAATACTTCCATCATCATTCACCACTTTCACCTCACTCATACATAATCATTGTTTTTGCAGAGGCACCCAGATACAACAGTTCAGAAGCATATATAAAGATGCAATATAAAAAGTGACCTGAAATAATTATCAGGGCCCCAATTATATATATACCATCCTATTACACATCCCACCAAACTGCCAATATCCCAAACCCCTCCTTTAAAGTGCAGGCATTGTACCTCCCATTTCCAGAACTCAAGTCCGGCTATATAAAAATACCCGGTTTCCCTGAATCCTTCACAAAAATATTACCCTGCTCACACTCCAACAGCTTGTCAGGTCCCAAAAACCATTCGTCTCCATTCACTCCTATCTAACATGCTCATGCACACTTGCTCGAAGTCCAAGCCCCTCCCCCACAAAACCACCTTTACCCCCTCCCTCCAACCTTTTCGAGGATGACCCTACCCCGCCGTCCTTCTCCTGCAGATTTATACGCTCTCCATGTATTCTACTTTGGCCCATCTTCTATAAATGACCAAACCACCTCAACAACCCCTCTTCAGCCCTCTGACTAATACTTTTATTAACTCCACAATTTCTCCTAATTTCCACACTTCGAATTCTCTGCATAACATTTACACCACACATTGCCCTTAGACAGGACATCTCCAATGCCTCCAACTACTTCCTCGCTGCAGCATTTACAACCCAAGCTTCACACCCATATAAGAATGTTGGTACCACTATACTTTCATACATTCCCTTCTTTACCTCCATTGATAACATTTTTTGTCTCCATGTATACCTCAATGCACCACTCACCTTTTTCCCTCATCAATTCTATGGTTAACCTCATCTTTCATAAACCCATCCACTGACATATCACTCCCAAATATCTGAAAGCATTCACTTCTTCCATACCCCTTCCCTCCAATGTGATATCCAATTTTTCTTTATCTAAATCATTTGATACCCTCATCATCTTACTCTCATCTATGTTCAATTTAAACTTTCTACCTTTACACACCCTCATATCCTGGTATATATTTACATATCCTGGTATATATTTAAGTGTTTTTTTATTTACAAGAATATGTGCTGTATGTATTAAATGCCATTTTATTTCCACACTGAAACTTTACCTGAAATGAAGCCATCTAGATTAGACTGGGACTTACTTCAAAACAGGAAGGGGTGGAGTAGCATTGCCTGCTGGGCCAATTGGTACAGGAACTCTCTTATTCAACAAACGGCGCCTGCCACCTAAGCTTCCTGATGTGCCAGCAGTACTAGCATTGAAAGCAAATTTTGGTGGATCATTCCAAGCACGTTCATGATTTCCTGATCAAAAAATAAAAATAATGAAAACAATATTAGTAACTAAGAATGTTATTTTCAATGCGTGCCAGCGGCAAAGGCATATGCAATACTGTATTTTACAGCATAGTGCATTGTAATTTTGAGTACAGTAATAAGAATGCAATGGCAAAAAGCAGGAGGATAGGATATCCCGTGGGTTACTGGTGATGGATCCCAACACCCTGTGATTTATGGCATAGCTATGGGCTTATTAGTATGTCAAAATATTTTAGAGGCTTCAGGTCTTGTGGTTAGAATGAAACGAGAGGTCTCTTGTCTATGCCTTAATTATGATGGCTATGCAGAGATGAAATAAAAAGGGTCAGCAGTTATTATGTATGCGTAAAGTTTAATTCACCTTCAATAAACAAAGGTATGGATTAAGAAGTAAGTAATATTCCAAGGAGTGTGATTTGAAAGGACTAGACTTGTCTAGGTGCTTAATCCATGAGGATCACACAGTGTGGCATGTCAGGAAAAATACACTCCAAAAGAGCAATAAGTACAGGACATATCCAGTGGAGAGCAAAGCAATCAGGTCAAAAATATATCAGAGAAGAGTAATTAAAAATGCTATAAAAAAGTAGTCTCTTTTTCTGAAAGCCTAGTTAGACAGCATCAGTGTTAAAGATCAGCACTTTCTGAGAGGCCGTCTGATGAACGAAACAAAACAAGAGAACAAATAAAAAACTTGGCTATGGATATATGAAACAATGGGAGCAAAGTCCAGTGTGTGTTTCTTAAAAAAAAAAGAGGGATGAATACCAAGAACTATCGTACATGCAATGGAAATAAATCATACTGTTTGACTTCATTGGGTTATTCTAAGTTAAACTGCCAGCAGTAACAGCCTGGTTGACCAGGCAAGCACCTGATGAGCCTGGCTCAAGGCTGGGCTCTGGCAGTAGAAAAACTCTCAGAACTCATTAAAGGCATATCAAAGGTAAGTGCAGCAAGAACGTGTGTGCCCTCAAAACCATTATAAAATGTTTTGCTTGTTAATACCTAATGGAGACACACACACAAGGGCCAGGAGGGGCCAGGAGCTGTGAATCGACCCCTGCAACCACAACTAGGTGAATACACATACACACGTACACACACACATACACATACACACATACACAAACACGTACACACACACGTACACACATACACACACCTAGCCAAGCACGTAAAGAAACTAGAGAAAGTGCAAAGGTTTGCAACAAGACTAGTCCCAGAGCTAAGTGGTATGTCCTACGAGGAGAGGTTAAGGGAAATCGGCCTGACAACACTGGAGGACAGGAGAGATAGGGGGGACATGATAACGACATACAAAATACTGAGAGGAATTGACAAGGTGGACAAAGACAGTATGTTTCAGAGATGGGACACAACAACAAGGGAACACAGTTGGAAGTTGAAGAACAGATGAATCACAGGAATGTTAGGAAGTATTTCTTCAGCCACAGAGTAGTCAGGAAGTGGAATAGTTTGGGAAGCGATGTAGTGGAGGCAGGATCCATACATAGCTTTAAGCAGAGGTATGATAAAGCTCACGGTTCAGGGAGAGTGACTTAGTAGCGACCAGTAAAGAGGTGGGGCCAGGAGCTTGGACTTGACCCCTTCAACCTCAACTAGGTGAGCGCGCGTGTGCACGCACACACGCACATGCACACACGCACACGCACATGCACACACACACACACACACACACACACACATAATTGGATTGGGCACGTATAACGGGAAGGGCACTTCAATGGATCAGAGAATACCTGACAGGGAGGCAACAACGAGTCATGGTACGTGATGAGGTATCACAGTGGGCACCTGTGATGAGCAGGGTCCCACAGGGGTCGGTCCTGGGACCAGTGCCATTTTTGGTATATGTGAATGACATGATGGAAGGGATAGACTCACAGGTGTCCCTGTTTGCAGATGATGTGAAATTAATGAGGAGAATTAAATCAGATGAGGATCAGGCAGGCTTTCAAAGAGACCTGGACAGGCTGGACACATGGTCCAGCAACTGGCTTCTCAAATTCAACCCTGCCAAATGCAAAGTCATGAAGATCGGAAAAGGGCAAAGAAGCCCGCAGACAGAGTATGGGCTAGGGGGCCCAAATGACTGCAATCCTCATTAAAGGGAGAAAGATCTTGGCGGGGAGTAAAAACACCAAACACTCTCCAGAAGCACACATCAACCAGAAAAACCCTGTTTGCAGCATAGGGGGCCCCTGGCAAACCTGAGATTGCTTTCCCAAAACCTAATTTAAGGAACTCTCAAAACACTTTTAAAAAACCGGGTAAGGGCCGGGCCCTTACGGGGTATCCACCATTTTGGGAAAACCAGCACTGGGTAAAAGGGCCCTTTAAAAAAATTAAAGGAAAGTGAAAAGGGTTTTGTGAAAAGGTTTTCCAGAGCTGGGGAATGCCCTACAAAGAAAGGTTGGGGGAAAATGGGCCCCGACAACACGGAGGACAGGAGAGAAAAGGGGGAAAATATGATAATGACATACAAAATACTGTGGGAATGAAAAGGGGAAGATAGGAAAAATGCATACAAAATACTGTGTGCAAAGAAAAAGGGTGACAAAAGACAAGATGTTCCAGAGAGGGGACACAGAAACAAGGGGTAACTTTTGGGAAGATAAAAGATTTCAGATGAGCCCCCGGGGTTAGGAAGCATTTCTTCATCATAGAGTGGTCGGGAAGTGGAACAGCCCTGGCAAAGCGAAAAAAGGGAGGCGGGAACCCAAATACATAGCTTTAAAAAGGGGTATGATAAAGCTCATGGGGGCGGGGATAAGAGGACCTAGTAGTTTTTCATTGAAGAGGCGGGGCCGGGAGTTGATCTCGCCCCCCTCAACTACAATTGGGTGAGGGGTTTGAGAAAACCCCACACACACACACACACACACACCCCCCCCACACACACACCACACACGACATGAGGGAAAGGAATAGCCCTCGAGGGCCCCCTTTTTTTCAGATGACGTTTTTTGGGATGAGAAAAATTTCACCCCAAAGGAAAAACCGGGCAGAACTAAAAAGGAAATTCTGGCCCAGGCTCCCAGACCTGTCCACCCAATTTGGGGCTCCTGGAGTTAAATCCCCCCAAAGGGGCAAAGTCATAAAATTTTGGGGGAAAGGGGCAAAAAAGGGCCGCAGACGAGTACAGCCCTGGGGGGTCAGAGACTACAAACCTCACTAAAGGGAAAAAATTTTTGGGGGTGATATAACACCAGGCACATCTCCTAAAGGGCGCACATAAACCAAATAACTGCTGCAGCATATGGGCGCCTAGAAAAACCTAGAACCCCCATTCCGACATTTTAAATTTGGAATCATTCAGGACCCTGTAAAACCGTGTACGTTGGGCCCATTTGGATAGGGGCGGCACCATTTTTTGGAACCCACCCCCTACCAAGCAGTGAAGAAACTAGAGAAAGGGGAAAATTTTTTTGAAACAAGACTAGCCCCAGAGCAAAAGGGGTTTTCCCCAAACGGGGAGGGGTTTAAAGGGAAATCAACCTGACGACATTTGGAGCCCGGGAAAGAAAGGGGGGACATGATAAAAACAAAACAAAATACTAAAGGGGAATTGAAAAGGGTTGACAAAGAAAGGATTTCCAGAATTGGCCCACAGAAAAAAGGGGGACACAGTTGGAACCCTGAAGACACAGAATGAATCACGGGGATTTTGGGAAGTATTTTTTCAGCCACAGAGTAGTCAGTAAGTGGAATATTTTTGGGAAAGCGATGAAGTGGGGGCAAAAAAAAAATCCATACAAAGTTTTTAACCCAGAGGTATTAAACCCTAAAGGGTTTCGGGGAGAGTGACCTAGTACGACAGTAAAGGGGCCCGGGCCAGGAGCTGGGACTCGACCCCCGCAACCTCAACTAGGTGAGTACAACTAGGTGATTAAAAACCCCACACACACACACACACGGGCCGTTTTCCCCCTCAACCTTTCTTCATAGGAAAATCCCCGTAGCTCTGGGACAAAGTCTTTTTGAAAAAACCTTTGCATTTTTCCAAAAATTTTCTTGACGTCTTGACTGGGTTTGGGGAACCCCACACCTAGTCAAGCACGTAAAAAATTTTAGAGAAAGTGCAAAGGTTTGCAAAAAACTATCCCAGAGCTACGGGTTTTTCCTATGAAGAAAGGTTGGGGGAAAACCCCTGAAAGAACCCGGAGGGGCAGAGGGGCGGGGGGGGACATGATAACGACATATAAAATACTGCCCGGGGAACGGGAAGGGGGGTGGACAAAGAAAGGGATGTTTTTCCCGGGGATGGGCCCAGAAAACAAGAGGTCCAAATTTGGGAATTGAAACTCAAAATGAAAACAAAGGGGGTTTTGGAAAATTTCTTCAGTCAAGAGTAAATCCCGGCCATGGAATAGCTAGAAAAATGATTATTTGGGGGGCAGGAACCATACATATTTTTAAAAGGGGAGGTATGATAGAGCCTCATGGGGCAGGGAGAGAGGACCCCGTAAATCAGCGAAGAGGCGGGGGCCCGGACGTGACTCGACCCTGCAACCACAAATAAGGGGAGTACAAAAGGGGAGTACCAAAATCAAAAAAAATATGAGGGATAACACCAGGCACAAACTTTAAGCGCAAAATCCCAAACCAAAAAACTGCGCAGCATATGGGGGCCCGGCAAAACCCCAGAACAGCAAATTTCCCACTTTTTAAAAAGGAATCATTCCCGGAAACCCCGTACACCGTGTACGTTAGGCCCATTTTTGGGTATCGCACCAGTTTTTTGGGCCCACACCTACCAAGCACGTGAAAAAAAACTTGAGAAAGTGCAAAGGTTTTGCAACAAGACTAGTCCCCCAAGCTAAGAGGTATGTCCTACGAGGAGAGGTTAAGGGAAATCAACCTGACGACACTGGGGGACAGGAGAGATAGGGGGGACATGATAACGACATACAAAATACTGAGAGGAATTGACAAGGTGGACAAAGACAGGATGTTCCAGAGATT